CAGCAGAAAAGAAAATAAACCCAAACATTAGAGAGAAATAATCCTTTTCAAGCAGGCTGCAGGAGCCGAAATGCTTTCTGGAACCCCACTCTCTTCCCCACCTATGGTTTTTAACCCGTTGGCCTCCTCATTTTTGTACAAACGAGCCAGTCATCTTTCCTGCACTGATTCAATGATGACACGATGCCATCTCTGCCCAATTTTTTCCTAGAGGTTGTGCAGATCACTGGCAAATCAGAAAGATCCCGTCACCATCACTGCCTGAGCAGCTAAAAGGAATCTCAGCCATCATTGAAAAGTGTGATTTTTTTTTTTTTTTTTTTTTTTTTTTCAAAAAATTTTAAAAAAAACACAGGGGAAAAAAAAAAAAAAAACACCAGGGAGAAAAAAAAAAAAAAAAATCGCTTTCCTAATTATCCAAAGCACCAACCTGGAGATTCGAAGTACTCCGATTTTAATTATCTCCAAAATCTCTATGCAAACTGGAAAGATACATTTTCACATTTCTAGCAGACTTGGAAGATGGGAAGATGGCATGTCTTTGCAGAAGACCACTAGGCAGTTACAAACAGCACAGAGGAGATGGCTTCTACCTGCTGTTAAAAAGGGGGTTTCTGCAGCAACAGAAATGGAAGACGGATATTATGTAATTACATGGAGAAGCTATTAGAAGCTGAAGGAGACAGAATGGAACATCTATAGAAGTCATCTTTTCTTTTTTTCCCTAATAAAAGAAGATACTTTTATTATCTTAAAAATGCATATTTTGAGGATGTTTGTCAGCTTACAGCAGACATGAAAAATAACTGCCATAATAAAGCAAAATATATATACAAAAAAATATTCCTTGCCCCGGTGCCAAAAAATACATCTTTTTTGTTATAACATCTGAAAATGGCTGCTTCTGTTTTCAAAGGATCTTTCACTATACTTTCCCATCTTTACTGCTAAGCGAAACATGTTGCAAACGCAGTGGCAGAAGAAGCTGCAGAATGGCCAGAGCATACACAGATCATTATTTGAGAAATTTCAATATCAACTGCCTCGTATTATAAAGATGCAAAAGCTTAACTTGCACCTTAAAATGCTCAATCCTTATTCCTAATAATTCTCCTACTAACAGACAGGTGAGAAATGCCATGGAAATTAATTTATTTCAGTTCAAAACAACTGAGTTTTGCTGTTTCTCTTAGGTCTGTACGGTGCCTAACCACAAAGCTCTTCAGCATTGCTGTTATTAACTTCTTTCATTAACTCAGATTCGAGAAATACATTTGTTTTTAGCAACAATAAAGGACCGCAGCCTTTAAAACGTTTGGGTATTTTAGCACTGCACAATTTCTGAATACTAGATGAAAGAAATATAAGGATTTATCTGGTATGTTTACTGCTCTCTCTTCACAAGAAAAGTGCTGCAGTACATTTTAATTTCTGTTTATTTCTCTAAAACCCTTGATATAATTTCAGTTGGATGCAGTAAAAGCTATGGCCAAGCAAAAGCTGATTAGCTGCAGCGTTGCAAAGCATCCATGAAACGAAGCATCTCGCTTACGGCCAATACACAGGTCAAAACGCGCACCGCTAACGGCTACACCGTGGTAGCCCAGTATAGCATCGGTGGACTTTACACAAGAAATTGAGATGAGTTTATAGAGCAGATGGTTTCTGCCACAGCACTTTTATCAACCTCTCTTCAGGGCTCTGCTGGTACCTCGGTTTGCTACCGGGTCATCATTTATACAGAGGAGGAGGACTCAGGCTTACGATGCTGCAAGGCTGTAGACAGAAGGACACCTTAAATAACATGGAGCGGTGCAAGAAAACACCTACCATGAAAGAATCTGGTTGTATCCATACTGAAAATCCCTTTCCTGGCATTTCTGGACAGGATATGCCAATTGATTCTCATGGAAGTAGAGGACCTTTTTCAATTTGCCAAGGTCAGGGCGGAGGGCAGCGAGTTCAGCCAGGTTAAGCACCGAGCTTGCAAAGAGGATCCTGGAAAACAAGGAGAGCAGTGTTTACTGTCTGTGAGCATGCTCGCAGGGGTCACCCCTTCCCCTTCTCGCCCCCCCCCCCCAAGAAAAACATAACCCCTATAGGGACACATCAATAGCTAAGCCTTAATACCATGTAGCAGCATTCGAAGTTTTGATCTCTTAAAAAGCAGCTGCTAAGAACTCAACTAGAAAAGCACTGAATCTCATTGGTCTTCCCAGCTCGGTTACAGAGAGATGCAAAATAAAAAAAGCTGGATGGATTTTATTGAAAAAGGCAAGAAAAGCTGTATCTGAAGGACAAATGGAACAAAGATAAGGCTGACTAGGGAATACTTTGCTTGCCAGTTTCATTACACTTTACTTCTTTATGCAACCAACTACTGAAATTCAATATATGAGCAGGAAT